CCTTACTTTCTGATGGTCGAATGCTCTGGGCGACAGTAGAGCGATCGTTCAGCTTTGGTAGATGGTTGTAGCGTACGCTGGTGAGGCTTGCTGCTCGCTTAGTCGCCTTGATGCTTTCACCAAAAGTGATAGGCCAAGTTGCTTGTGCCGAAAGGTTGATCAAGCTGGCGACGTCTGCCATGACTGCTTGTATTCACGGATATTAGAGAGGTAACGGCAGCTTTGCTGTGGATGTCTTGTGTCTTTGTTCAGAGCTGTATTGTTTGCTAAAGCGGTTGAGGTCAGCACAGCCGACCAGGTGCGTTTGGGGCTGACCTTGCAGACAACGCATCCAATCAACAAGGGCACAAAATCACCTGTACCATGACATGACTGCGACTAATGTGTTGAATCTCTGATACGGCGATGTGCTCGTCGAAAGATTGGAAGGATCTGTCGACAGAGGCAACCATTGCGCTTCAATCTCGTTAGAATGATATCCCATCACATCGACACCAAACGCCTTTGATGTCGCACAACGCTGTATCGGGGAACTGATACTGATTCTTGCACCGTGTCTCAGCGCTCAGATGCGAAGAGGCACCAGAGCAACAGCTGTCAGCATCCCAGCAGATATTGGCAGTCTCATCCGTTGCCAGAGCATCGTCAATGTTGAGACTTCCTGCGACAACACGGCGATCGACATCATGGGACATCGCACGTATCATCGCAGGAGGCAGCTGTGCAAGAGCCACGCCGACGACTCAATCTGGTGCGCAAGCGATCCCTTCATCGCAAGAAGCTTTTCACAGGAGCTGCTCATCAGCATTTCAGAGAACAGCCTCGCCGAGGTGAACCACTAGATCTAGGGTTGCTCGTGATGATATGATAAAATAGTACATTATACTCCGCAGCCATCGTGCCATTTCACTCGATCGCAGAATCGGACTTACTATAATGCGGCGACTTCACACGACAACAATGGATAGGAAGCAGTCCAGGCGTCAATCAATTGCAGTGAGACGATCACATAGATGTGTTTGATAAGATTAATTGCCCTGTTACATATAGAGGCAGACTTAGCATGTATGTACAAGACCATCGTTCGTTTCTGCTCCATGTGTCTTACATCTACAATGGAAGACCATTGTCTGTGTCTGTGCTAGCAGTGCAAGCAGTATCGGCAACGAGAGCACCATCAGTCTCTGTGTCAGCAACCATTGGACGTTGTGCTGTGCTGGGATGATGTTGCACCTGCTCTGTTCACGTGGCAGGTTGGCGATGCTGTGGTACTCGTGACTGTGTGTAGCTCCTATTCAGTGATAGGCAACACATCGTAGCAAGATATTGCAGAGTGGTAGTGTGAAGAAGGCGCGAATCATAGGACCATGGAGAAGCTTGATCATTGAGAGCTGAAATGCGTCATTGTCGTCAGGCGGGCACTGGTAGCTTGAGAAGTGCTGATGTCGATGGCAGAACTGGATGCGCTGGCCAGACAATGATAATGCTGATGTGGTTGGTATGTTCTCAGGCCGCAACAGGGTGGTACTTGTGTGAGCATCATCGTTGAGGTCAGGTGGCAGGCGAGTGCGTGATGCGCGTTTGAGGTCCCGTCGTTGTGTGTATCGTATTGCCTTCAGCTCCCGTAGCGTAATTGGCGCAACTAAACTGTTGTTAAGCAGTGCAGATGTTTTTGTGATTTTGTTTGTCGCAAATTGAAGCTGTGAGTGAACACATTGATCGTTCCGCGTTGGTGGTTTCACGTTGATGGTTTCGCGTTGATGGTTTCGTGTTGGTCTTTTCGCGTTGGTGGTTTGGTGTTATTGTGATCGTTGCGTTCGATGAAAGGTTATGCAAGAGGAGGACACACGGCGCTCGATGGACGCGATGATGTGCGAAGGCCTTCAATCATCACACATCACCGCGCCGAAGAGAAAAAGAGGTTGAGAAGCGAAGAAGAAGGTCTATTTGTAGAGGCTAGCTTGTGCGCTAGCGTGAATCCTCAGGCATGCACGACCCGTGCCATAGCATCAACTACAACAGTGAAGTCGTGGAATCGAGGATTGATCTCGAAGCTTCCATTGCTCGTCGGCCAATGTCCTTAGAACCGGTGCGTTCGTCATCTTGGTCCCCCAACGCATAAGTCCTATCCCAGCTTCCATGACACGCACAGCCTGCCGGCGAGTTGATGCGTGTTCTCACGTACTCAACACTCAACGAGTGTTGAGTGTCGGAGGTCGAAGTCCGAAGTGCGTAGTGCGAGCTTTCTTCGCTACAGACGACTGTTGAATGCAGCAATTCACAACGACGAGTACATGTCCATCTCACCTCTGCATTGATCATGGCGCTACTGCCAGTATATGCATCAGCCTGTTCATTGACTCAAGCGAGTGTCTGACCGTACTGCACCGCTCAGCTACGTGGCCACGTACACTATCCTGAAGAGCCTGGACGCTACGAAGCTGACAGACTGAAGAGTTGAGCACTCAGCGGTCGTGCTTGACAGAGACCGGGAATGCTCTGGCTGCTCTGGGATCTGACAGGAGCAAGGCGACCCAAGTGAGTGTATGCTGCTTCTCGAGCGCTCTGCGGCGACTTCTCCGAGAGGCACCAGCGCAGAATGTTCTTACAGCTCAAATTTGACGTTGGCTGCTTCGCCAATGGCTGAATTGTATCAGCGTCTGATGGAGCTTACGGCCGGCCTGCTGTAGGGTCAGCTGCCTGATGCACTGGCGATGAGTCAGTAGTGATGGAGCAATGGCCTGATTGTTGCGTCGAGGACGTTGCACGAGCTGTGTATAAAGAGTATGAAGCAACGTACATGTTCGACACAAAAGGTCTCTTTCCAGATGGATGCAGAGTTGTCTGAAGAGACCTTGTTTGACACGATTGGCAACGTGCGTACCATCTCCGATTCATCCAACATTCAGCTGACGGCAGATCTGCTAACAGTCCTGGGATTTTGAGCCGGAAACCTCTGTTGAACGGATAGTCTGTATTCACCATGTCCCCGTACCGCCTATGCTCAATCTTAAGGAGCCGTCGCAGCTTAGCCAGGGAACATCGAGCAAGAGCGCATTCTGGACAGAACTTGATATGGACTCGATCTCCGTACCGTCTATACTCAGCCTGAATGCCCTAGAGCTACCCGATCATGGGATGGTAAGCATGTGTGACTGCTCAAAGGATAGGAGTAACCACAACATCTCTATCTTGGCCATGCCTCTTTGAGGAGCAGCTGGGACAACGGAAACTGGGACTATGAGTATATGAGCACAATCTGTATCAGATCAGTTCCCTGCTCCGGATTCAAGACGTCCGACTGAATGACAATGGTATCTCATGCAGCCGTACATGGTTGCAAAGCCTGTCGACTTGTTACGCTTTGTTACACTGACGAGGCATGCAGCTACTTACGATAGCTCTTGCCCATCTCGTCCGCGTGGTGGGAGTTTCTGAGCGCTACAGATACGAGCATCATGCTGCATCTCGTAAGGTCATTACAACTCTTGATCGGTGCTCTTACTGTCTAGTGGAGAGAGCAGAAAGTGCATGGACGTTGAGGTGGTTGCTGCGGTCCATATGTCGATATCTGGGAGCGCTCATTGCGAAGTGTTCGTCAATGCTGGGAAGCCTGAGCCAGTCGAACGCTGCATTCTGTCAGCAGTTGGCTCTTCCCCTAGCATGTGCATAACCGAGGGAAACACTGTTGGCATGCGGATGGGCGTCAGCCGCGCTCGCGCGTCGTCTCCGAGCAGACATGCGGCAGCGAGGCACAGATGGCAGGTGGTCGATGCCGTTGTGTTTGGTTTGGTGTAGCAGGAGATACGCCGAATGAATATATGCTAGCGCACAGGTCATCCGAGTTTGTTATTGCATGTGTTCACACAACACGCGACACTGTGCTCATACCGCCGTATTGATAGCTGCAAGTCAAGGCTTTGCAGTAGTCGTTGCTGATGTTTAAATGAGTGTCACAAGGTCTGATCAAGATCAGCTCACCACTATTCTGCTTCCACAATGCTGTGCATGTACTCTCGTAGGAGCTTGAAGTTGAAGTCGTCTAAGTATGCGCTACATGTGAGCCCTAGGCGGCCACATGAGGTCCAGGGAAGAAGTGTTCGAGCTTTTGTTTGCGAATTGGTCAAACGCCAAGATGTTGGAGCGCTGGACACAAGTTGGTCAATCTCACGTCAGACATCATGCTTCGTATATCATGACATAACATCTGGCATCAGAGACCGGTCTTGTCCAGTCAAGAGCAGTGCAACGATCCTTTCGCAATTCTCTCGCAATTGCACTAAGCTGTCGCAAGCGCTGTCGTGGACCACTGGGTAGAAGCCAGCTACAAGATCGTATCAGCACTTGGCACACTAACTTGTCACTTGCAGGTTTCCCCAAGTCGTCGAATGCCTGGACAAGTTGATCGATCACCACCCAGCGTGCTTGTGCGAAGCAAGGCGACTGTATAACGACACTTGACAATTGACCAGTGATGCGTATTCTCTCGACTGCCAACGAGACCGACAATAGCAGTATCAGATAATCGCTTCTGGGAATCAAGCTGCTCCGTCTCGCAGAAGATGTGCTGCAGGTGACGATCGAGATGTCGAGGACATGTCGCACATCCAGTGGAGATCCGATGAAGTCCAATCGAGTACTTAAGACGGACTATACTTTGAACCGGAAGATCAAAACCTATCAAGCAGATGATTGAGGTGTGTCTCGAGCGCCGCTACGTGGTTACAGGTCGGATCTTAGCCTCAGATCTGCAGCCAACTGGTCCCAAGTTGCTCAGACCTCGCTAGTGTACGAACACCAACCTTTCCTTCATCACAGACGACCGAGACGTCCTGGGCTAGCATCCCTTCGTCGAACACAGCTCTGATACCTTGCTACGTACTACTCAGCACACTGCCCCTGAACGCTTGCCGTTCTAGCTCGAGATTCGTCCAGTCTCGCCGCGGATGATCTCAAGCACAGGATCCACTACTCTGGAACTCACATCTCCGCCCCGAAAGGCTTTCATAGTCTAGTGGTTATGATGCATCCTTTACATCTGGTTTCGGTTCGTTTTATCGTGCTGGATCAACGATTAGGTGAACGGATGAGGTCCTGAGTTCGACCCTCAGTGAAAGCTTGTTTTTTGCACTCCTGGAGGCTATATCAATGAATTTTTGTTCAGAAATGGCCGTCTGGCTTTACGACAGCATGCGGCAACGATTTGGGCACCCAGGGAAGCTTTTGGTGTGATGGTGGGTTCTTGTCAGGCCAGCAAACAGTGCCGGTAGTGGAATGTTGGCAGTATGGGGACATTCCGACAAACTTATCTGCACAAGCCACACACAACATGGCTTTGTCCGCCGGCAGTATATGAATCATTACGGAAGCCTAGGATGGCAGTATGACCCTTCAATCATGCCGGCAATACGCAAAGTCTCGAGCAGAAAATCCTCCGAGCTAGACTCACCAGCCACACCTCTTCGACGCAACCCAAGAAGAGTCTCAGCTTCTGCCGGTCAGAGAGTGATCTCAGGACGAGTAGGGCGGGTGCCTCGTCTTTCAAGTAGTCGACCAACGAGTCTTAGATCGGACGATCTTCCTCTTGTGCCGCCGAGCACCGCAGTAGACAATGATTACAAGGACATGCCGCAATTGCTAGCAACGATTGAGGTTGAGTCTATGACCAATCCGAAGATGGTAAAGGTGTTTGGCAAGAACAGGAGCAATCCATTCTATGAAGCACTACCACGACCTTCACTCTACGTTGCCCACGATCCGGCAGCACTACAGATCATCGACGGGCCACGAGCAACACAGACGGCCAATAACAGCATCAACGAGATCTTAGCAAATGAAAAGCCTAGCATGGTGGCTGAGCTCTACAGTAGGACGACAGCAGCTCTAGGCTTTGGCAAGAAGGTCACAACACGACCACCTTTGTGGACAACGCCGGACGTTACAGCTTCGGAAATCGACAAGTTGATGAAGATCATTAGAAGCCCATAGCTGTAGATTCAATTACTCGAGTCCGACTCGCTACCCTCATACTCTCCATCAGCCTCTACATAGTACGCCGCCATTCTATCGCCAGGTGATCCATGTTCAGCCTCTGGTCGAATCTTGGTCTTCTTCTTGGTCTTGGGTTTTGGTCCAGAATTCGTCAGAGTCGCCAAATTTCTGGCTTTGGGCACAGCCTTCCTGACTATTGTCTCGCCAAGCTGATCCTTAGGGAAGGCTGTTCCGTAGTCAAAGAAAAGTTCCTCGCCAGGGTCAATGTGTCGAGCTGCCCATAGCCCGATACGATGCACAGTATTGACTAGCATGATTACACCGTATGCATTTCTGAGCTCCGCGGCGTTGTGATTGATGAACCGAATCTTGTTTCCACAGTAGGTAGCATCGACCTCCTGTGTCTTGGTCAAAGTGAAGAGATAGGACAGCTTCTGGTGGTCGTAGATGGCTCCTCTGCGATCGGCTTCCTTCTTTCTAAGTAGTTCGCCTTTGTACTCTCCAATGAAGCGGTCTTTGGGGATGGCTTCGCAAGCATAGAGACCGAGCTCGTGTACTAGACTGTCGCCAAGCAGAGTGTGACTGGGTATACCACGTTGTATACTGGCATTCTGGCATAGCTTGGTCAACCCAGCTCCGGTCTTTGATAGATCGAGCGCCTCCTCGACACCGCAGCCACCGCAGAGATCGGCATCACATTCGCGTCCCATCATGTAGCATGCACACTGATCGTCCTTCCAGCAGATCTTCTTGTTGACTTTGTGACAATCGCAGCCTGAGAACTTACGAGCACAAGTCGATAAGCATGTGCAATACTTCTCACAAGGTACGTGGGACACAAAGCAGGAACACTTTGCTCCTTCACAAGCCTCGCCCGGGTGGTTGCATGGGAAAAAGGTATGCATAGTATCCGGTCTCTTGTACGGGTGACCACCTGAGTCCTTCGAATCCCAGTACTTAGCTCTCTTACGAAAGGATTTGTCAGACTCTGTGGTGTCCTGAACAGCAAAACATATTCGTTGGCGGAAGTTGGATTGTGGAGGGTTGATGATATCTGTCGCATCTGCATCGGCGGCCACTGAGCCGTCATCACTATATGAGTCGCTCTCGGGGTGCTGCCAGATCTCGCCGTGCACCCAGCAGTCGAACCGGTAGCAGACACGACATTCTCGATCAGCGAGGTCCAAGGAGGGAGGATCCTCAAGATCTGAGAAGTAGTTGCGGATCAGTTGACTGCGCCGAAGGACCTGCCAGACGCTCAAGCCCGTACAACGCAAGAATGTGTCACAGAAGTGCGCAGCATTGATAAGTTTGTGGTGTGTGCCAATCTTCGCGCTGCACTCCAACCATCGTTGGCTATCGGCAGGGAAGTCGTCTCCCTTAGGACGACGAGCAGGTTGGTTCCTGCTGAACAGGAAAGCAAGAATGTCGGACCAGGCAAGGTCAGCTTCGACAAGAGCAGCTTCTGCCGCACTGAAAAGCCATTGGGCAAGGTGTAGCTGTTGGAGCTTGCTCAGACGGCCTCTTGCATCAACGGTGTACAGTTGTCGGAGGTCAGACTCATCTGGATTGGCCTCATCACCGAAGTACGGCCAGACGTTGAGCATAGGTACATTTGGTGCCAGCATACACTCCTGCAGGCGGACCACATGAGAATACTTAGGCAATGGCTTCTCCTGTCTCATAGTGTGCATCGACCATGGGACGATCAATGATTTCTTCGACTTGCTGGTGCCTGTCCAGGTGTCTATATTAACCAGCAGCCCTTTGCTCGTCTTGGTCTTTAGGGTTGCCTCGGTGCACTTCAAAGGTTTGAGGCTGGCAAAGACATGGGCGGCCGAAGCAGGCGTCTTGGGAGGCTCGAGTCGGCCTTTCATTCGGGCTCGTGTCAGTGTGTCTTTGGTAGCATACAGAGTGTCGTCTCGCAGATTGTGAAGCTCATCCTTGATGGCAGCCTCAATCTGCAGCTCTAGTGGCAGCTTCGGAGTCTTGAAAACCTCTAAATCATGCTGCGTGTTGAAGACTTCCCAACCCTGCTGCACATCGTCGGAGATTTCAATGGAGTCGAGAGGCACATTACGCTCTGCAGCTTCTTGAGACGCCGTGGTCTCGTCATGGAGCTGACGAGAAGCTTGCGCTTGCTCAGATTGAGCGACAGGTGAGGCAACGATGCTATGGGTCTTCTTATGCTTTGGTGTATGCGCGCTGAGAAGCGATGTGGTGGTTGCTACAGTTGTGCCGCCAGACACTTGTGCAGACTTCTGAATGGCGCTCGTGGGTTTGCATGGTGTTGATGTCTGTGCTCGAGCTGCAATGCTCGGTTGTGCTCCAGCTATTACCGGTTGAGTGCTGCTGCGCGGCTGTCCTGGACCCTGCCCTGGTGGTGTTGGCTCACTACGAGTGTTCTTGACTGATGCTGATTGTCCAGCGCTTAGGGTCGTCTTGTCTCTGTTGCCAATGCCAAGAAGAGCGTCATCTCTGGGAGTATTCCTAGCAGCTCTCGAAAGAGCTTCCAAGGCGGCACCACCGAATGCCGAAGCTTTCGTTGTCGCAGGTGCTGTGCTGCGTGCATTCTCAATAGGCTTGCCAACCTTGAGTGTTGCTGTAACTGCAGGACGTTCACTGTCCACTTTCTGACGCTTCCGTGGAACATTTTGATCGGCATCGATGGACAGTCGTGATCGATCTGGTATAGACTTGATGCTGTGATGTAGCGATCTCTGCATAAGCGATGAGACACTCTCGTTGCTGGTAATGCTTATGACCTCTTTATGTGCGCGGATTGCTTCACGCGAATGCCGTGATTCTCTGTTTTTCCTGGCTGTCGGAAGCGAACTTCCAGGTGTGGGCGTGGGAAGAACGTCGTCCTCATCATCGACCGTCAAGTCGATGACATCGCTCGCACTGCCAGCTGGTGTTGGTGCCATGGTGAGCGTAGCCTTGAAACTGCTAGAGACACTTGAGGTTGCCAGGTTGTTTCCGAAGGGATGTTGCTACACTTCATGGGCGTGATGGGCCTGAAGCAACGACAGACATATCGACAGGCTGTTGTGTTTGCAATACATCGAGTGATGTTGTCCAGGAAGTGAAGTACCAACGATTGTTTGCTCAACACGCGAGTCGTGGAAAGCGTGATTGGTGAGCGCGTCTAGGTCTAAGCCAATCACAGTAGTCCGCCAAGCCATATATATACATGTCCTATTGCATTCATTCGATATCGTGAATTGTACATCAGAGGATGCTGTAAGTGTATAGACTGACTTTTACAACCGCTTCCTTCTGAATTGCAGCTCATCATCGTCGTCCTCATCCAAGTTCATAGCCACTCTACGTCTGGGACGTTTAGCTTCTCGTCCACCTAACTCTCCTTCGAAGGGTCGTTTCTCAGTCTGCGTTGTAGCTACCAGTTGACTGCGCTCAGAGGCGTTCGTAGCAGGCAGGAGTGTGCTGTTGGAACTTTGCTGCGTTCGTACGTTTGGATCCCGAGCAGTCACGACACCTCCAATCCTGCTATGTTGTTGACTTTCCAGATAATACTCATCCTCAAGGAAGGTAGCTCGTTTGACCGGTGCGGCTTCGAGGCTGACCATCACACGCTGCTGTCGAGGTTCGTCACGATGTGCACCTTGTGGTTTGAAGCCTTTGAAGTTGCGCCGACCATTCCAAGCTGGATTCCATTGGGTGCTCGCCTGTCGATTGCACTGGCTCTCGAGTCTCGTCTCAGAGATAGTAACTTCAAACTCCTGGTGCTGCACAAACTTCTTCATATCTTCGACTGTGAGACCATCCATCTGCTTGCTGATGTCGATCTTCCGAAGTTCCTGCTCTTCCTCTTCTTTCTTCTTCCGCTCCAGCAATCTAGCCTTGACGTCAGGAAGTCTGTCCTTTGGTTTTCGACTGAACGCATCAGGCTTGGATGTAGCTCTCTCTGGTGTCTGCCGTTCGAGACGTTGCTTCTTCGCCGACGATGCTTCTGGCACATGCTCGTCGGCATTCAGAGGACGTTTCCGTGTTGACTCGGCATGCCCATTGGTCATGGCGGCCTCTGGCTCCGGTGATGGCGAGGTTGGATGCGTGATCTGACTAGGATCAAAATCATCGAACCCTTTGAAGCGCGACTGCGTGGCA